GTTAGAATGAGGGCAAACTGTGATGAGGAAGTTTAAAAGTGTGACATATTTTATAGATGGTCTGCAAGCCCCTTGAAAAATCACTTTGTTGTCACCACTTCAGGCTGACTCCCATTACTTTGTTAAAGAAGCTTTTGTTCGGGATAGGAAAAGCACCTTGATTTTTTTTTAATGGAAGCAAAACTACAGCAGGCACTCAAATGAAATGCACATGGTAGCCAATACTGGCTTTATTTTGTATTACAGAAGCTGAGAGATATGGAATTCGTGGGGCGGGGGGCGGGTGGGTTGGGGCGACGCGGGGAGGCAGTGAAGTTAGTGGGCTAGTACAAACACATCTAGACAGACTGCACTGGCTGCACCCATACAGTATGCTGAACCATAAATTAATCCCAGGGGTTGGGTACATATCATGAACTGGTTGGATCTGTGGTATATACCATGCAAAGCGATCACTTTCGGGCCCTTAACGTCTAATCGAGGTAAGCCCCAGTCCTAAATTCCTGTGTGCTGAGGACAAACGCCCCAATGAATAGGGTAGAACGAACTTTGGAATGAACATGTTTAAAATCGTGACAATTCGGTGTGTTTGCTTAGAAGTGAGACTAATTGAGTTCAACTGCACTTAATTTATGTTAAGAGGAATTAGGACTGGAAGCCAAGTATGTAAGGATTAAAAGGGCAGGCCCCAAATACTTTTGCTAGGACAGAAAACCTCAGAGCACCTCTCCTTGAGAGAAAAATGCAACCCTCATAAATCAAAGAATGAGTAATTTGTTGCATTGTCATGAAAATCGAAAGCAGGTGCTTGGGGCCACCTCTTCACTCAGCCAAATGAGAGGGCCAGCCCTTCCTCAGGCCCTTAAAATGAAGGAGATGGGAAAGGGGATCAATGAGGTCAAGTGGCACGTCTGTGACAGTTCAGGGTAAATCTTAAATGTACACAACCCTCTTCCTGAAGAGGCCTGTTGGTTTAGTTCGCATCAATCCTGTGGGTTGCACTCCAGGGTGGAGGACCAGTTATTGTATATCATGTAAGAGCAGTAACCTTTAAGCTTTAGTCGAGAATTGTCACTGATTATATCTGTTACGTTTCCTGGCCATTTGGCCCCAGTGTTTACTTTCCCTGAGTGCCACGCAGAGATAGCACTTCCTGTATCCGCTGAAGCGGTGAGCTACTTGAAAAGTTTGTGCCAGAATAAATTTAGTTAGTTTTCCATTTGGATTCCAGTGAATGAGATTCATTGCGTGTTCAGTCTGAGATGCGGCTTTATTTTCCATACCATTTGGCCACCATTTACAACCCATTAGTGTCAGGGCCTCTCAGAGGGTAGGCACAGGCAGAAGAGCCATTTCACTTGGGCCTCAAAGTCAAAAAATAAGTTAAATATAGATCCTTTCTTTAAAAAAAAAAAAAGTATGAATGTTGCAGTTATTCTGGAGGTGCCTTATTTTGCTTTCAGGTATCCTCCTCCTCCTTTTGATGATGATGATGATGGCGGTGGCGGTGGCTAGGGCTTCTTTGGGTTTCTATGGCAAATGCTCTCTTTCGTTCTTCCCCACAATTTTCCCGCCCTGCCTTCGCGCAGGGCAAGGATGAGCCTCGGGGCAGCGACGGCAGAAGGACGGACGCGAACCCGATCGCCTCGGGTCTCTTCTCGGAAACCCCAGCCTGCGGCGGGGAAGTCCCGGGCTTAGGGCTGGAAGTGGGCCTGATCAACGGCTTGCCCAAGGAGCGAGCCGTTCTCCATTGCAGGCGGCAGGGGACTAGTCCTCATCAATCCCTACCGCCGTCGTCGGCCTTCCTCCCCCCCTGCTGTTGAGGTGGGTCGGGCATCGACTCCAATCCTTGAAGACGCCGGCGGGGCGTGTGTCAGGTATGGGCTTCGGCGGAGGAGGG